TGCCCCTTGTCAGCCCAGCACGCCTGAACCAGACTAGATAAAGACTCCCCAGCAATATCCCAGCACTTCTGGAAGAAAATAGGGCTCAATCCGTCCGTGCCCGGGGCTTTGAGAGGCCCCATGCTTCTGATGACGTCGTGGACTTCTTCCTGAGAGGGAGGGGCGATAACACCTAGCCACGTAGCTTCGTCAAACTGGTGAAAGGCGTGGCCAAGGTCGAGGAAAACGCCTCCCTCATCAGTGTAGAGGGCTTGGAAGTGACTACAAGCTAGTTCCTGTAGCTCTTCAGGAACATCAATCCAATTCCCATCAGGACCCTTCAAAGCAGTGATACGGTTTCTTTTCCTCCGCATAATAGTATAGGTGTGGAAGTACTTAGTATTCTGGTCTCCCCATTTAATCCAATCCTGCCGAGATTTTTGACACCACAAGACTTCCTCTTGAAAGAGAACCGTTTCCAACTCTGCCCGGGCAGCTACAAGGCTCGGCAGCGTATTCAGACCTCCGTCCCGCAATTCCAACTCCTTATTTTCCTCAGGAGCGTGTCTTTATGCCTTTGAATATGTCCAAAGATGAACCTGTTCCATTGTTGGGCGTCCTGGGCAAAAGCATCGACTGATTCCTTGAAGTCCCCCCCCCCCCCCCCCCCCCCGCGCCCATGCTGAACTAGCCATTCTCTTGAAGTCATCATGGGTGAGCCAAGCAGCCTAGAACCGAAACGGTTTAGGCCCTCCCGGAGCGGTATGGTTCGTCAATGGAGCAAGCAGAGGTCTGTGATCCGATCTCGGCCTGGCCAGGTGTTTAACATTCGACTCCGGGAACGAGGTTAACCAGTGGTTGTTTGACAGTGCACGATCCAGGCGTTCCCGGACCCCTGACCGAAACCAAGTGAAATCTGGCCCCGAGAAACCAAGGTCCGCTAGGCCGGCATCGTTAACACAGTCTTGGAAATCTCTGACTCGGGTCGCGTCAAAAGGAGCTCCCCCCAATTTTTCATTCGGCCGAAGAATGGAATTAAAGTCTCCAATAAGAATCCAATGATCCTCAGTTTCCTCAGCAATCCTTCGGATCGCAGACAGCAACTCACGTCTTTGCATGGGCACAGGGTTACCGTACACTGCCGTGAGCAACCAAGCATTGTTTGCCGAGTTTGCATACTGTACCTGCACATGGAGAAATTGCGGTTGAGAGTCTATCCTTGTAACAGTGAGCTCCGAAGAGTTCCAAAGAATCCAGATCCCCTCCGAGAAACACACAGCATCAACTATTAGTTTACTATCATAACCCATGTCTCGGACCACCTCCTCAGCGGTATTCCCACTGATACGAGGCTCAACAATTATCACAATTTTAGGACGAGTTCTACGTTTATACTCAAGGAAAGTACGAAGGAAGCTCCGGCTACCGGCGCCTCTACAGTTCCAACAGAAAATTTTGCAATCCATAAAAAGATAAGGAAAGGAAAGGACACTCCCTGGCACATCACTGACGGGTGGCTCCATCGCCGTTCCCTGCAGGCAATAATCTCACGTTTATACTCGTTCCTTCTGGCGACAGGCTGGACGGGTTGGCATCGGTATTGGGTGGGCGACCCACTGCCGCCGCAGACAGCGTCTGGTTATTCTCGTCCCGACCGGTAGGGACCTTTGTACTAGGAGCTAGCTGAGTTCCAGCATCAGTCTCCATAGGCATAGTAATCGGCTGATGCGTGAAGCCTGCCCCTTGTTGTTGACTCTTGGTCGAGTTCTCATTTCGCAGAGGCAACTCTCTTTCAACCTCACTCGTAGTTTTCCTCTGGGACATAGGCTCGTCGGTCTTCTTAGCCATAGAGGCCGTCGCTTTCGGGTGAGCATTCATCTGACCTTCCTTGCTCATGTTTGTCGGCCTGACCTTGTGTCTTGCTGGCTCCATCTCCTTAGGCACCATCCCCGACGAAAACTCAGTTGGCTGGAGAGACGTAGGGTTACTATTTGGTTGTACCAAATCATCCTCCATACCACGGTCGTCCACTAGCACTGTAAAGCGTGAGCCCGAGTTATTGTTTACGTCCGATTTCATGCCTTTAGCCTCCCCTGATTTGGTCTCAGGGACAGTCCCTTGACGAGTAGGTCTTGGCTTCCTCTTGGCGATCATCCATTCCCCATAAACTTTGTCGGAGTCCTGGTCAGTATCTCTGCATGGGGTTTTAGGCGTAGGTTCCTCGGCTGGTGTCGATGAAGTGGTCATTGAGCAGTAGCACCCGGCTCTCTCACAATATTTTCCACAATTGAGGCAGATTTTCTCCAACCCCTCATACTGGATAAAGTATTTTACGCCCTTGATCCTGAACTGCGACAGGAGAGGTTTCGTCAGGTCAACCTCAACGCAGACTCTTGCATAGTCGAGCCGAGCTCCCGTACTTGTCGCATGATCCACCCGAAGATGTTTACCTATCCATTTCCCGATCTTCATCACAGCATCGGTATTGAAGTATTGAGCTGGAAGATCAAGTAAACGTGCCCAGACCAGGGTTGACGAGATTTCATGGCTATATGGGTTAAATTTCTTGTTCCACGTGTGAACAGTAAGGTAATTATCACCCACCATCCACGGTCCTCCCGTCACTGCTCTTTCATAGTCAATTCCGCTGGTGAACCGCACAATAAAGTAACCATTTTTTACTGATGCAACCTGGATGGCTCCCGCCTTTGCCCAAAGGGTATTCAGGCGACGAGACACGACAGTGTACGACGAAAGGCGACCCAGCACCTTCACTACGAGAGCTGACCTCAGCTTCCTGCAAAACTGCCGCTCCTCTGCTGCGGTAAAGGGGATATTTGGGCACAAAGGATCATCATGAAACTCCGTGCCATCCTCCAGACCGTCTTCCCTGATTTCAACCGTAATATCCTCCGAGTCGGAGTCAGCTACGTACCATTCATCAGATTTGAAGAGCTCACTGAAAAGACGGCGGGCTGCTCCAGTGCCGGAGGTCCAGGCGGACGGAGGAGGGCTGCCCGAACCATTACGCTTGTCTTCCATCTCCGGTGCGTCCTCCAGAACGACGTCCGAATCCTCCTCTATATGTATCCTTTCGGACGTTTGTTTTGCGCGCTTCTTGCTTTCCTGAGCTTCCCGGTCTCCCTTAGGATTCGGGAAAGAGGATGCTTGGGGAGGCCTACGTTGGCCTGCGAGATTGTCTGGAGGAGTATCGAGGCTCCCCCCGCCGGCCAGCGGTATGGCCGCCGCCGGCATGGCGTACGCCGAAAACCCTAAGCTCGTCGAAGAAGATTTCCGCTCCGAGAAACACGGAGAGAAAACCCTAATTACCACCAAACTTATTCAATCTACAAACAATTTATTTTTCATATTAATACATTAAAATTATTGATCTACATGCATTAATTAAATACATCAATTCTAACTTTCAAACATCCCTAAAAAAAAAAATCTAACTTTCAAACAAGAAACACTAGAATCGACGAGTCACAAAGAGCAATCATACGAGCTCGCAGGCTAAAAAGGCTTGGCCCAATACAGTGGGCCTTTGCAAAACGGGCTTGCATTAGAGCATCATACACAATGGCCCATACTATGTGTAGTTGAGAATTGAGATGTCCGGGAGACATGGAAACCGTCTTTCTTCTTACAAACTTCCTTTTCTTTTTGAGAGGTACTAATTAACGCCCTAATTTTTTAAATTTATCGCCCTAATTTATACAAGTTAACGTTTTAGCCCCCAAAATTTTCCCAACCTCTAACCAAATTCCCAATTACACTCGCTCTAATGTCCTCGCAAGGGCTGATCTACTGCTCTATCCGCCCTGTCGACGCCGCCAGTTCCGGGAGATTGAAAAATCAGTCGGCAATTAATTGGAGTTCAGCGGCAAAATCTCCGGTACGCAAAGAGTGAAAAGGTTGGCATATTTGGTTATTGGAGAGCTGGAGTTACGAGGTATACTTTGGACCCTTGTTGTCCCCATGCTTCCACCCACGCACCTTCTCCCCACCGCAGAAGGCGGCGGAACAAAGGCAACTACGAAGAATTCCACAGAAGGCGGCGGAATTAGGTTGTGGGAGAAGAATTGGTTAATTTAGGGCGATGGATTGGGGTGTGGGTGAAGAATTTCGTCGGTGTTGTCATGAGCCGGATATTCCTTCCGCCGCCGACGAGCATAGCAAAAATAGGAACTATGGCGATAGATTTGGGGCGGCCGTTTTACGAAGGGAGGGTAATATCGTCTGTTTGGTTAATTTAGGGCGAAAATTTTAAAAAGTTAGGGCGTTAAATAGGAATTCAGTTGGTTTAGACATTCTTTTCACAAACTAATTGTCATTCTTCTATCACCTCACCTATATATAAGAGCATCTACATGATTTATAAAAAGAATGCTGTGATAAGGTCCGAAAAGTTGAAACAATTTGGTTGATTGGAAATCACCGGCCAAATTAGAACTCAGTAAACCCTAATCCTTGATCGACAGTGGAAAGCTGCGCTGCCACCAACGTAAGCACCAGAAGAGGAACAACCTCGAGATATAAACGGTGAGCGTCTAGTTTACCTTCCCCTTTTTTCCTTTCTTTTCTTTTCTTGTCTTTTCTTGACGACTAGTAAGGGAATGGATACAATTATTTAGGGTTTATTGATATTTTGCTTCATCACTAATAAGGGACAATCTGAATAGTAAAAGAGCTGTTACGTGCAGTTAATTACTGGTATAACCTTGTAAGTTTAGAGAGTGATTCAATGGAATTCAAAACTGGCTGATACCATAAGATGAAACCTATTCTTAGGCAAATAGCAACAAAGTATACGTACCAACTACGTGCATGTTACCACAGGCGGAGCTATCATACCTTTTCCGTTGTGCAAGATAAAAGTGCATCAGTCATATCCTTCAATGTATCTGCATCACTCATATATGTCAGTTTATATAAATTATTTATTTGGATGTTATGAACTTTAATTACATTTGCTAATTGTGGTTTGGTTCGGTTTATGGAGCTAGCTAGGCTAGAGGATGACGGGTAGAGACAGAATCAGTGGGTTGCCAAGCAACGTTGTGGAGCACATCCTGAGGTTTTTGCCGCTCCGAGAAGCAGTGAGGACAAGTGTTGTGTCGAGAAAATGGGCGAACAAATGGGTGCACATGCGCGCCCTTGTTCTCGATGACAAGTTTGGCAAAGTAGTGAAACCAGTTGCATCTGCCGCCAACAACAAACTCATGCTTGACGTTTGCAACGTCCTCATGCGCCACCGTGCTCGCCTCAACGCGTTCTCCCTCTCGATCCCCGACCTCAGAAGCGCCTTCTCCGACCATCGGATTGGCCAGATCATCGGCTCTCTGGACGACCAGCACATCGAGTCGCTGTCCATTGAGATCAAGGACTATGTGCTGCCGAGTTGCATTTTCTCCTTCACCCGACTCAAGAACTTGAAACTGTGTGGCTGCCAGTTCAGATCCTCTGTCGTCGCATTTCACAGCAGTGCTTTTGCTGAGCTCGACGTTCTCGAGCTCAGGGGCTTAGCAGTACCAAAACTTGGTGGTGAAGCTCGTTTCAGCTTTAACTGCCCGTTGCTTTCGTCACTGACCATGGAAGGCTGCGGCCTTAGTACGAACAAGATCGGCATTGTTATAGAGGCTCCTAAGCTCGATTACTGTCGTATCTCGGGGAGCTTCAGCTTGCTGGAGTTCAAGCACACTCCGCTCCTCAAAACTGTACATGTTCATCAAGATCTGAGCTACATTGAGGACAAAGGCTACTCAAACTTCAAGAAATTTACAGACGCCCTTCGATCGGTGGAGCAACTTTCCATCTCTGGTTATTTCTACAACGTAAGAAACTGCATATGCAATATTTCTCAGCTCGGTTATATTTTAACTTGTGCACTTGGAATAACATTATATATACATACATGTATGATGACTTCTATCGTGCATCAGACAAAAATTGATGTATGTCGTATATCAGACAATCTTCATAAAAAATAAAACTCACATTTATACGGAATGTTGGACATGTATAATGGGGATTGTATAGTGTACGACATACACCAGCTTTTGTCTGGTGTACGATAGAACCATCCATATTATATGTTTGTTGTTGTTGTTGTTGTTGTTATAGTACTTGATGACGGGATCTAAACATGCAGTTAGCTGGAGTACCCTCAACCTCAAGCGTCTAAGATTGAATGAACTGTGCCACGGCTCATCTTCTCGTGCCTATATGTGGTGTGCTATTAGCTTCATGAACCTTTCTCCTAGCTTGCATGAACTAAGTATCAACGTGAGTGTGGAATATCTTTCTCCCCCTTCTATTCTCAATCATAATTATTAATGTTCAAATCTAAAATCATTCTGTTTCCCTTGGTACTTGATTTCATTGAAGCAAGCTAAGCTGGGTTTGTCTTGTGTTTGAACATTTTCCTCAGATCGGGAAGCAACAGGTATTTGTTGATGGCAGTCAAAATCTTGTAATTAAAAGTAAAAACCGCAGGGCGCAGCTTAAGCGAGTGAAGGTGGAGCAATTCGACGGTACGAAGATGGAAATGGGTCTCGTACGATCGTTGCTGTCCGCATCACCAGCACTTGATCAGATGGAAATCAAGTTTTCAGCCAGCCATAGAGATCGATGGTTGATTTGCAAAGAGATGTTGGGATTTGCACGGGCCTCGCCGACTGCCCAAATCGCAATCGAGTAACTCGTTAAAGCCTACTCTCGCACATGAATATATTTTGAATGCCTTTCATTTTACGTTCCGAATTATGAAACTTGAATCCATATCTTCAACTTATTGTAGAATATAATCACCAACCAATACAAACAAACAGTGGTTAGCGTCGATTATTGCTGGGGTCCAAGATAGGATGCATAACCCATGGTTATGCACCCGTCAGTAACCCAACAGGAGCCGTCCATCTGGAGCGGGGAGATCTAACGGCTGGGGTCGGAGCGGGGTGGGGCAGGGGTATTTTTGTCCATTTTTTGAATTTATGTCCTTCGCTCGTTATTCCTTTTTTGTTTATCCTTGGCCGAGCTGGAATTGGATTCATGAGAGAGAATGAGAAGTAAACAGAGCAATCGAGAGTTTTTCTCCGAAGGATCTGTCGATGGCGAGAAGGTTGGTGGAGGACGCGATTCTTAGCTTAATCGGCAGCGGACTTGCGAGTTATAGTTGTTAGAAGGTCTGTGGAGGACGCGATTCTTCTTCTTCTTCTTGCTCGAGGTTTTGGCTCGATTTGTTTGTGTTGAAGTTTCTGCTGGCCGTTGTTTGGTCTCCGTCGAGGTAATTTGTAGTGATAGTAGGATTTCACGTTTGCGCATTGATTCCGTTCTGTAATTTGTTTTTGATGTTGTGTATATATGATTATACCATGCAATACCAGTTTATACCATATATCTGCGTTTTCTCTTTTGTGCTCTCTGTTTTCTGTTCTTTGTGATCAATGATCTCATTATGTTTGTATAAGTTTGTTCAGTTGATTGATCCGTAGTTGAATTTATGTTTTGTGCAGGAATTTTTTGAATCTTCTTGGTTGACTGAGCTTTTTTAGTGCAATGAGTGATCTCAATCAAGGCGCCATTGTTTCTTTGAATGAATCTAATACTGGATCTAGTTCTTCTAATAGTGTTGTTGAATCGGAAGGTAAGAATTTTAAATGTGTTTGGTAAGTTGATGTTTGTATATATGTTATACCATACAGTACCATACTGGTATTTTATAGTATTTTTGCATATGAGTGTTGTGTTTTATTTTTTGTAGATTGTTTTTATAGTTGTTGTGATTTTATGTTTCTGTATATATGTTTATACCATGCAATACCGTGCAATACCATGTTATACCATATATTACCATGTTATACCATAAAGTACCATACTGGTATTCTATGGTATTTTTGCATATGAGTGTTGTGTTTTATTTGTTGTAGATTGTTTTTATAGTTGTTGTGATTTTATGTTTCTGTATATATGTTATACCATAAGAAACTACACTGGTATTTGTATAGTTTTGATTGTAATAAACTTTACCATATGATACTATGGTGGTATTATAGTTTGTACAGCATTAATGTTTCATTGTTTTTATGGTTTAGGTTTTGATGGTATTGATCCTAATGTTCGAAGTTCCTGGAACAATCTTGAGTTCGCTACAACTGATGATGCATATAGATTTTATGTGGATTATGGGAATTATAAAGGTTTTTGTGTGAGGATTTACCATCAGTCGGCATGTCCGAAGCTTAATAATGGTTCAAATGCGGTTTATTATATCAAGTATTGTTGCAATAAGGAAGGCTGGAGGATTGGTAGTGAGAATAATCCTGCTAATCGTGGTTCTATTGATGCGAAGGCTCGTGTTCGTCATGTTCCAGAAATCAGGGGTGGATGTGATGGTGCCTATATTCGAATTAGGTGGTTTAAGCAGTTCAATTGTTACAAGATTTATAAGTGGTATGATGTGCATAACCATGACATGATTCCTGTGGCTATGCGTCACTACATGAGATCGAATAGAAAAATGGCTCCTGTGTATAAACTGTTGGCAGATGTGAATGATGCTGCTGGTATAGGTGCGACTGCTTCGTATAATGCAATTAGTACAGCTGGTGGTGGTCGGAAGTGTATTGGTTTCACAAGAAATGATTTGAAGAACCACCTGCGGACAGTGAGGACGTCATCAATGGAGCATGGTGATGCAACTGCATTACTAAAACACTTTAGAAGACAAGCTAAGCTGGATCCTGGCTTTTTTCATGAGGTAGAGGTTGATGTGGATGAGAATATTGCTAGTATTTTTTGGGCAGATGGGAAGATGCGGATGGATTATCATTTTTTCGGGGATTCAGTTAGTTTTGATACTACATACAGAACGAATAAAGAGTATCGACCACTAGGTATGTGTTCTTATTTTTGTGATTATTCTGTATTATAGTTATTTTTATTTGGTATTATGTTGTTACCTGTTAATACTATGGTGGTATTTTGTGGTATTCATTATGTTGTTATCTGTTAATACTATGGTGGTATTTTGTGGTATTCATTTTTTTAACACTGTGTACCACATGGTATGTGCAGCTCTGTTTGTTGGTTTCAACAACCATCATCAACTCACTGTGTTTGGAGCTGCCCTTCTATATGATGAAACAACGGCAACGTTTGAGTGGTTGTTTAATCAGTTTTTGGAATGCATGGGAGGTGTGAGCCCGTTGTCTATTTTTACTGATCAGGCTGCTGCAATTGCTGCTGGTATAAGGTCTGTTTTCCCAAGTTCTTTCCATGGATTGTGTTCATGGCATATCTCACAGAATGCAGTTGTTAATTTGGGATCTTTGTGTGATTCGGATTTCCTTTGTGAGCTTAGCTATTTGATGTACAATGTTGATGATGAGGATGATTTTGAGTATAATTGGAAAAGAATGATAGATAAGTGTTTCCCTGGGAAAGGACCTCTTGGACACAGTTGGTTACAAGGTATTTACAAGGTGAGGGAGAAGTGGTCATCGGCTTGGGTGAATTCTCATTTTGGTGCTGGTATGAAGAGCACCCAGTTAAGCGAGTGTTGCAACAGTAATCTTCGTCATTACTTGCAGTCAGAATTTAGTATTCCTAGATTCTTTGTACATTTTGATAGGATGCTTGATAATAAGAGAGATGCTGAAGAAGAAGAGGAGTACAGAGCACTTTCTACGTTTGCTGATTGTCGCTTTTCAAGCAGTGCTATTGTCAAGCAAGTTGCTGATCTATATACCCCAAAAATATTCCAGCTTTTTCTAGGACAGTACAAAGAATCTCTTTCATACAATGTTTTCCCTAATACAGAGTTAGCTCAAGAAGGGAATGTAAAGATCTTTGATGTCTTTACATTGTTAGCAGACTTGTCAAGGTTTGACAGCAGACTGCTCATAGTTGATTTTGATAATGGTGAAATTAAGTGTACTTGTCGCAAGTGGGAGTCAAGTGGTTTGTTGTGTAAGCATCAATTGAGGGGATATGATTTGTTGTGGTCTACAACTTGCAATGTGAAGTTTCATCACATCCCTTCTAGTTTGATTTTGAAGCGATGGACAAGGACAGCAAAAACTGGTGGGAATTTTGGATTTGCAGTTTCGTCTACTGAGGCTCCGTCAAAGTATCGGTCTCGCCTGTTCAATATTTCAGCTGTTTCTGCTTCGCTTATCAGTAGGGTTTGTTTGAATGATGATTTGTATAAAACAACCATGGATTTCATGAGTGATTTGATCAAGAAGTGTGAAGCTTTACCAACTGTTGAAACAGCTGGTACGGGTGGATCGACCAACTGTGAGAGTAAGTTCCTTGGCCCCCTTTTGTTTGTGTATATGATTTTTGTTATTTTTTTGTCTGCCAAGTTGTTTTACCATGTTGTACCATGTTGTACCATGTGGTATAGTGTGGTTTTCTTTATTGTTTCTGGTAATATGTTGGAATACCATATGGTATTATGTGGTATTGATTGTAGTATGTATTTCTTATTTGTAGGTGATGTTCCAGTTCGAAATGTGAAGGGGTTTAAGCCTAAGAAGGATTCATTTAAGCCTTCGAAACGACCTATTACAGAAGCTGAGATTGGAAGGGCGGCTAGTAGGAAGAAGAAAAAGACTAGCAGATTGGAAGAGGAGAAATTGAAGGCTGTGGAAGAAAGTTTGAAGTTGAAGTTGTGATAGTTGTTTGAAGGCTGTGGAGTTTTATTAGCTGTTGAAGGATGTTGATTTTTATGTGTTTCTTGCATATTTGTTTTGTTTTGAAGTAGTATTGATCTGCACATGTGAAGGACTTAATGTTTAGTGGATGATTTTAACCTTTGATATAATGTTTTTTCTATATGGTGTTGTGTGGTGTTTTTAAAAATGTTTATACCATGTTATACCATATGGTATACTATGGTAAAAACATTTTTATGACTGTAATCTTAGCTAAGTGTTGTGTTCAGTTTAGCATAAAATAGCATGTGGTTTTGTTCTGGTGTATTTAAAAATCCTTATACCATGTTATACCATATGGTATACTATGGTAAAAATCTTTATACCATGTTATACCATATGGTATACTATGGTAAAAACATTCTAGATGACTGTAATGTTAGATATGTGATCTGTGCTGTGTTCAGTTTCCATAAAATACCATCTATGTTGTTGTGGTGCATTTAAAAACGTTTATACCATGTTATACCATATGGTATACTATGGTATACACATTTTGATGACTGTAATCTTAGATCTGTGACAATAATAAGGGGTAAGATAAAGTACTAGGCTGTTACATAACCATAATAAGAAGTGTTTCAAATGTAAGTTATAACACACCCATAAGAAACACACTGAATACCTTGTTTGTTCTAAAAAGCACACACATAAGAAACACACTGAATACCTTGTTTGTTCTAAAAAGCACACACATAAAAAAAAACTAGCAAATTGGTTGTCTGCAAAAGCATTGTTTTCAGAAGCTGATGTCTATAGTAGATATTGTAACCATACTGATTCTGTCCCCTTCCCTTACTTGCTTTGATTCTTCATAGCACAGTACTTTGTGGCAGCCTTCATTATCCGATCACGCTCCAGGTTGTCTTTATTGAGGATGATATCCAGCATGATACACTCCCTGTCTTCTTTGATCAGATCCATTCTCTTCCAGTCTGATTGCATAAAAGTCTTGTACTTTCCTTCCCAGTGGCGCATCCAT